TGCAATGGTGCATAAATAGTTACTGATAGAAATATCAAGAAAAACATATAAGCTTCTCAGTAATATTGACTCTTCGTCCTTAGTTCATCGACATGTAAATCATGCACAACCAAATAAAAAGATATATAAATATTTATATATGAATATATTCACTTTTAGTATTATTTATAATAAAGGGCGACTTTTATATTTCAAGCATCTAAAATTAGGTGGCCAAGTTTTAACATAAGCTGAAGGAGTAATTTCAGAATCTTCAGCCAGTAATAGCTAAAATGCCATGTCAAAAGTGTAAATTAGACAAGTTCAGAAATAGTTAAAATTAGTATCAGTGTCACTTAAAATTTTTAGCATCAAAGATATTATAAAAGAAAATTTGTAATTTTAAAAAGGTAATAAGCAACCATTACGAATTGTTGATTTACCTTAAGCACAAGATTATTGAGCAAAATTCAAACTTTTGCCTCACTCCATGTCTGCATATCAATTAAAATTTATCCACAAGCAGTAAATTAAAAAGGGTTAGTTTCCAGTAAAATGTGCCCATTATTTGCCCACTCATCCCACATCAAACCATTTCGTGGAATGATTCACAACTCTCCTCCAGCGAGCTGACTATAGAAGGGCAAAAATCAAACGAGGATGGATGGTTAAAAAATAATAATAATAGTTGAAGATGTGAATTTTGTAAATTTGAGCAAAGTTGAAAAGAAGAGATCAAAAAAGGGGCTAGGATTTCATACAACCAAAAAGCTTATTGTGCAAAAGTTCTCAATACAAGAGATTTAAATAGTCTAATAAACAAAAGACTAAATTAACCCATCCTAACAAGTAAAATGACATTTGTATTTTTCTATCAATATAGAATAATACAAGCAAAAATAATATAAGTAGTTATGCTGATATGTTCTCTCAAACTCACGATGCGACAACTAAAAAAGTAACGAGATTTTGTCAATCAAAAACCAAGAACATTGATTAGAGTTCAAACTCATGCCCATGACATCCAGATTAATATCATCTCTATAAGATACATCATCGGCAAAATTTAATGGAAATTATAGTTTCGACATATGGCAAGAGGACAATGCGTTACTAATTTGGCTAGAAAAAACTTGCTTCAAAGAATTTACTTCCACAACGTTGGTTGGAAAGATGTGTATAACCTTATCTAAGGTTGTAGTTAGAGGTCTCCAAGGCGTAATTTGTTATCCACTGCTTTGTGTAGAGGTGGTAATACACGATGTAGCTTACTTCATTCATTTTTCTTTATTACCATTTCAAATATTAATACACTTGGGTTCAAACTCCACATTCTTGTTAGGATAAGTAGGCCTAAAAATTTTATCTTGACTTGAGTGGCTATATATAAACTAAATAGAAAAACAACAGCTATCCTAACAAAATAAGAAGACAATGAAGGGGGCGTGAATTGGGTGAGGAAGAGACTTTTTTCTTATTCTCTTTTTAATTTTGTTTATATTGTCAGGGATTTTTTATTTTCTTTTTCTATTTTAAAGTTTTCCCAACTCTAAGGCCATGTTTGATATGACAACTTTTCCATGGAAAATGAAAAAGACTTTCCCTTTTCCAAGTTTTTACATGTTTGATAGCATCAATTTTTTAGGTAATTAAAATTTCAACTTTCAGCCACACGTGCACCTTTTCCAAGAAATGGAGGAATTCATTTTCTCATGTATTAGGTGGTTTTTCATTTTCCAGGTTGACTTTTCTGTTTTATTTTTTTATTTTTTTTTATTTTTTGACAATGAAAATTTACAATTGTAACAAATTCTTTCATTTTAGTGGACAATTTTCATATAAAACAAAGTCAAACGAACATTAAAAGATAGATGATTTTCTTGATTTTTTATTTTTTTGGGTAATGGAAACAAATTTCATTCCCAATACTAGTAAATTCTAACCCTTTAACTAACAATTTTCATGCAAAATAAAGTTAAACGAACACAAAAAAAAAAAAAAAAAAAAAATTTTTTTTTCAAAATATCTTCCTTCTTCCTTCATGCCTCCTTTTATAGTAGAGTTTGGAATCTTATCTTGGACAGGTGTCTTCCACTTTCTTTGTTCCCCCGGCCCATGTATTTGTATTTAAGTCCCTCTATTTAGAATTTTTTAACTATAGTCTATACTAAAAAAAATGTTGCCAAAACATGAAGACAAAAGCAAAGGCAACAGTCAGTGAATGTTGCAAAAAATGTAAATGCATCAGTTAGGGATGTTGCAAAAATATGTAAAGGCAACAGGTAAAGAACATTGCAAAAAGTTAAATACAACATTCGCAGAAGCCCTTTCACAACGGCCTTTGAGTGTTGTCGTATCCTTCAATTCTACGGTAACATCGAAACCCTCAAACATACTAATAAATGTTGCAAAAAGTCTTTCGCAACATTTTTTGCATGTTGCAAAATGTAGTTTTTGTTGAAGATCTTCAATATCAGTTTGTAAATTCATTAGTCAAAGCAAGTGTTAGACATTATAATGCATACTTATCTACGCATTTAAATTTGCATAATGTTGACTGTTTGAGCGGATTTATAATTAAGGTAGTGTATATATTGTGTTTATAATTTATAGTTTAACCCAAATTTGGGGATGATTGATGCAAAAGAAAGTGATTTGGAACATGAAAAGACAGAAAGATGAAAAAGGAGGAACTCTCGTATGGATCATACGAGAAAATTATAGCACAGTTTTCTATTACTATATTTTCAGAGAAAATGATAAAACCGTTGAAAAGATAGTTGAATTTTAATTCAACTAACAAAATGAATCGCATTTTGAACGTTGGATCGAAAGTTTTGCACATTTGAACTTCAAGGACTAAACATGTACTAAAACAGAAAACTAAGAACCAAATTGCACATAAGCCGAAAGTTACAGTTGGTGGCCAACCACAAGCTTTGGTCGACCGCTCACTGGGCAAAAACAGGTCCTGAAAGATCTGTGTCACTCTCAAACTGCCCCCTGATTCCGTTCAGCCTTAAAAAGTCTAAATTTTGGATTCTAATCCATGGATACTTTGGTTTTTTTTTTTGCACATGACTTCCAAGGCCAATTAGGGCCTGTTTGACATAATTTTTGCTTTTCTTTTTGTAGAAGATTTTTTGAAGGAAGCTACCATAATTTTCGTCTAAAAACTAATATTTAAGAACACTTTTCATTTTGGAAATACTTTTAGAGGAAGCCACGTTGAACCAACTTTTTATAAAAATTCTTTTTAACTATCAAAATAAACTTTAACAAAATTAGCCAAATGGGTTCAAAAGTAACTTTTAAATTTCAAAAACTCCTTTTGAATTTTTAAAAGTCATACCAAATGGGCCTTTAATCTAGGTAAAAACTAGGGAGAAGTATACCTCAGTTTTCATACCATATCATGGAGAACATTTGGAAGAGAAAAACCATGGTTAGAGGTTTCATTAAGAAAAGAGTGGATTTTTTATGCTAGATATTCATCTCTTTCTTGTATTCCTTTAAAATAGAGTGATGTATTGTACTCTTTAACGAGTTTTTCTTCCTTTATGATAAATAGCTAAACTTTTAGTTGTGACATAGTTTTGAACCTTTAATTTCAATTCTCAAGTTTACTTTTTTAATTCATTAAAGTATTGATTTTTCTTCTTATCTTAATGCTTGGGAATATTTGGACAATATTTCTATTTTTATGATTTGTGGATTGTAATAAATCGAGAGATGAGTTATTAATTTATACCTTGTAGTAAAATTCAACAATTTGGTAGAAGATAGAGATACACTTTAGTATTATTATGATCTTTAATTGAATTTCTAGAAGATTTAATGCATTTTATTATGGCCTGTTTAGATTTGTATAAAGATAAGGTGAGTTGACTTAACCAAATATGATTGATTCAAAGTTGAGAGGCAAGTTAATTAAATTAATAAATTATATATATATATATATGAATCGTACATTTGCGAAATCGACGAAATATAATCAATTGTAAAATATGTTAAATTCAGTAGCTATATTGATTATATATTTCGTCGATTTCACAACTGTACGATTCATATATATAGCTATATAAATTATTCAATTATTTTTTTTATTATTCAATCAATTAAAAATATATAGACCTCATGGAGATTAGTCAGTTAAAGAGTAAAGGAAGAGTTTCGAAGAGGACAGCAATGTACTCAATTTGAGGAGGAAAGAAAACCAGAGTAGTTTCAAAGCATTTTATGTTGAGAATTATAAAATCCTAATTCTATTCCATCAAAAGCAATCAATTATTTTGAAGAAAAAGTAAACACTCAAGAACATATAAGATTCATTAAGTTCACGTCGATGTGAGATTACATTATTTTCCACCACAATAGTAATTCACCACGTCGAAAGTAGGTTTACAAGAGAAAATTACACTATTATCTTCTCTTAACCTCTCTTTCTTTATTTTTCAATGATAGTAATAAAGTTTAAGATAGTTCTCTATCTATAAGATAAATTAGGACAAAATCAAATTATTATAAAAGGATTCTAATTCCTTAATAGGTTGCAACAGGTGAAAATATTTAATATATATAATAATTAGACTCAACTTGACACTTTGCAATTTGAGATGTTTGGAACAGGTTTACAGCTTGCCTCATTAAAGATTGTTTCTTTTTACAGTTGCCACCCCCATCACACAACCCACTACCACCCCCACCAACAAAAGAGTTTTTCTCAAAATAATGACAATTTCTCCCACCAACACTGCCCCACCACCACCACCGCAACTCATCAAATGAGTTAATTTCCAAAAAGTGCTGCACAGGTTTACAGCGTTACACTAACTCCATTAAATTATAACAACAAAAATAAGAAGTTAAGTAGTTGGTATTTCATCCCTTAGTACTTGTTACTATTTTTTAACACTCTTGAATGGACAATTAGCCGAGTAATTTAAAACTTTCGCCAGTACTCTATTTAAATACAGGTCAATGAGTTTATTTCTGCAAAAAACAATTCATGTTAACAAATTAAGAAGATTCTAATCCCGATGGATTACTATGCAATTAGCCTGTTTCTAATTCTCTTTGTGGCCTGTGGATATGCTGATGAATTCCCATTTGATCAAAACTACTCTCCTCAGTGGGGTGGTGATCATCTTTCTGTTCTTGATCAGGGAAGGGTAGTCCAACTGCTAATAGACGAACACTCCGGTTTGTATTTAACTCTCTCTCTCTCTCTCTCTCTCTCTCTCTCTCTCTCTACTGTATTAGCATGTTACGTAGAGGGGATTGGATTATACATACCCATGCACTCTATGTTTTATGCCCTCAAGTTTCATGTAAGGGACAGTAGATAAATGAATGTGCATATATCAGGTATAGATTGTGGATTCAAGCTGATTTTAGGACTTTTCTTTGCTCTAATTAATTATTAAATATGCAGGAGCTGGATTCCATTCAAAACAGGATTTTGGTTCTGGATATTTTCGAATGATGATAAAATTACCAGGCAATCATTCTCAAGGAATCATAACGACTTTTTACGTAATTTAAATACATTTTGAGATGATTATGTGTGTTTTCCACGCATTGTTTTTGTTTTGGGCTGATTAATTTGATAATTTTGTAGTTAACTTCAATCCCAGTAGGTGGACAAGCAACAAACCACTATGAGTTTGATTTCGAGTTCTTGGGAGGTCATAATCCCATGGCTTACAGATTGAATACAAATGTGTTTGCAAATGACAAGGGACATAGGGAGCAACAATTTTGTCTTTGGTTTGATCCTACTGCAGATTTTCACAAATATGAACTTTTTTGGAACCAGTACCAAATAGTGTACGTACATGATGAATTACTTATGTTTCATTGAATCCACTCATTATTTAATTAAAAGTTTTAATCATAAGAGAGAAGATTATTATTTTTATATAAATTTAGCGTTCAAACATAACATATTAACTTAAATTGAGTATTTTATCCTCCTCTTTTTATTTTCATATTACATTACATTCGACATTTATACGATTAGATGTTTAATTGATAACATATGACTTGTATATTTTTGTTGATTTTGTGTATATAGGTTCTTTATAGACGGGACGCCAATAAGAGTGTTCAAAAACAACACAAATATTGGAGTGAGTTATCCATCAAACTCCATGCACATAGAAGCAAGCATATGGAATAGCACTGCATGGGTAGGACCAGTGGATTGGAGTCAAGGGCCCTTCATTGCTCATTATCAAGGATTTTCAATTGATGGGTGCAAATATAACACTCTTAACCCTAAGGCATGCGATAATTGGAATGCAGGAAAAGATCGGAAGCTGAGTCCTGATCAACAAAGAAGATATCATGATGCTAGAAAGAAGTACATGGTTTATGATTACTGTTCCAACAACTCAAAAAAATTCGCAGAGTGCTTATCTGATTTCCCAGTAGAAGAGCAAATTGAAGAGGATATGAACAACGTAGGGTTTAATCCGTCATCTAATTGGGACGAGAATCTCCACACTTAGAAAAGGTGCAGCCACTTTTGTTCCTAGTGCAGGAAATGCATTTGGATACATACATGAAGACATTAATGCATGAAGGGATAAACGATGTTTTTGTCATTCCAAAAATTGGTCTTGGGAGAATAATGAGAATAAAGATGAGGAGACTACAAAATTTATGATAAGACAAATAATGACGTGAATCCACTTATTTATTTATAATTCATTTATACACCACCTTCACAGCTCCCATCTCACCCCCATTCTATTATGAACTAAGAAGTAATAACTAAATTGTTTAAATGAAGTTTTAAAATATATATTAAAGTAGGGATAGCGCTAGAGATCGATTTTAGGGTGGGCAGAAAACAAATTTCTTACATAGACAGGAAGGGTGGCCCCTAATAAGAAAATAAAATACAAATTTTTTCTTTAAGTTTTTAAACGTATAATAAACCCACACTTCTAAAGATGTTTTTCAAGACAACAACAATAAAACAAGTTTTTGACTTTATTTTCCGAAACACCCCCTAAAAGGGACTTAATATTAAGACTTCAGAACTATAATTTTTCAGTTGAACAACAAGACAATTTGATTTTCTATTCCTGAAAACCTGGTACATCCCTCAAGTTATTGTTAGATCCAAAATGTTAATCAACAAATTTAAAAGTGGCTATAGCTTTAATTTTGATTATGAGTTTATCAAGGTGTCCAAGAGCGCCTTCAAAAGCGACAGGATTGATGAATGTAACTCCCTAACAAAATTAGAAAGTGTTAAGAAACAAATCCTATATTGATTAAATATCGAAATATAGACCAATATAAAATGGTGTTAACCTTTGGAGATATAACGTTAAGTCTTAATAGAAAGAATTATCCTTCAACCAAATTAAATAAATATCATAAGAAGCCTACAAAATGCAAGAAATTTTAAAAAACATAAGCACTACTCTGCATCTCTTCCTTGCCCTCATCACTATATATTCATTCCCGAATTTTTCATCTCTTCCATACTGATTCTATTCTTCTATATGTTCTGCAAATTTTTATTCGGTCTGAAATTTAGGAAATTTTTTAGCATCGACAGTTCGAATCTGTTGAGATTGTTTCTTCTTCACTTGCTTTTTTAGTAGCACTCTATCAAGCAAAAATTAAATCAGACAAGTCTGAAAATACTCGTACCTGTGGTGTTCACTTCCTTGATTGTTGATGTCTTTACTGCTCAAACCTGTGGCATTCTCTCTACAGTCTTCAGTCTCATTCCTCTCTGGTTTGTCTTGTTTATCTATCAATTTTTACCTAGTATTACTAATTGTGGTTATCTTTGTCCAGTTGGTATGTGTTTAGGAAATATCATTAATTTCTTTTGCCTTTTTGTACAATTTGAACCCGTTTGATGCTTACATTTTTTTTTTGGAAATATCATTAATTGCTATTCATGTTCATATTATTACAGTATCTTTTGTTTTTAACATTTGATGTTTTGTGGTACTGGAGGACAAGCATATCTGTACCAAATCATATTGTAATCTTATCTATATTTGAATACTTCATAGAACAAGCGTCCATTTCGTTTGTTTATTGCATGAAGAACTGCTCTATCTATCTGTCTTATATTTAATTCTGGCACTCGCATTTAACTGGAAATAAGAGTCATTTCATTCTACTTATATGAAATAATTCATTCTGCTCTCTTAACTTTATATGTGATAAAATAAATCATTCAAACTATTGTATAATAGTATACATATAGCATTTAGCCTTTCCTTCTAATGTAGGTGAATACCTGATGAGAGTAGTGTAGTGCTTTAGTAGTGAAACTTGATACCATCATAATTTGGAGTTTGGTCAGTAAATTGGCATTTAAAACTAGTAACTTGAAAGCTGTAAACAATAATTTGTGAATGGACTGCTGTCATCAGTAAAGGACTTAACTCTTGGAAATTAGCAATTATTTCCTTTGATTAGGAGGCTGAACACGTAAAACATAGATTAAAATGTTTCATTTTGAATTAAGTGATTCCATTTGAAAAACATGCTTGCTTTGTGCTCATGTCCTTCGTGTCAAATGCACTCAATGATACTCAATAAGACATGATGTCTCGCAATGTGAAAGGTTCTGTCATTATATAGAACCAAAATTACAATTAAATATGGTAACTATCAAACTAAATGTTCACTAATAGTAACCTATTAAATACATAGATTGATGCTTTATATTCCACCAATGTTTTTCTTAATGTCACTAACATCCCCTCAATTGATGCTGGTAAAAGCATCAATTTGCAATTATAAACTAATGATGATGACAGTGCTTGTGTCTATGAAGAAGAGAACGAAATCACAGCAATCATCTACGAAAAATAGTGATGATGAGAGACTCAATAACAATAAATAGTACAGAAAACGCTAAAAACTATTCCAAAATCACTCTAAAGCTACTCCAAAGAACTCATACCCCAAGAAGAATTTCCAAAAAAATTCACGAGATGTGTCGACCATACACAGTGAGTTCTATTAGTCGGGAGAACTCAGTCGAACACATAATTCTTATTTCGAAAAAAGCTCTAATGGTCATTGTAGCGGACGAAATCCAGCAATATATTGTAGGCCAAGACGCTGCAATCGAGAGAAATATCACGGAACAACGTTTACCAAAAATTCAAAGATAATCCTCCACTTAGAATCCAAAACTCTTGCTCATCACCCGAGCAACCAAAACTCAAAGGTCAGCACTCACACGTCTTTTTCTCCTTCTCAACCAAAAATGAAAATCATTTTTTTCAACTCTTTCATCCATCTACATTCTCATGCTCACCCTAAGCAAAAGTACACCATTATTCTGACACTATAACAACGAAGAACCATAAAAAGGAAAAAGAAATTAGTTGAAGTCCAATCAACACCCAATCTTGATAAAGCCCACGGCATCAAATAACAATGAGCCTTAAATTTTGAAATAATCCAACAAATCAGCAAGCATAAACCAACAAAGTAATAGGCCCAACGAAATTAACTTAAGCCCAATCTAGAAAACCCTTCAGCAACCAAGTAACGCGTGCCAACTCTCTCTCTCTCTCTCTACGATTTTCATACATTAAACAAAAGATGATGGAAATAAAGCTCTCGGAGATTAAGGATTTGACCCTAATTGAAAGAATCAAAACCCATTCCCATATTCGGGGCCTGGGATTGGATTCAGTTCGCGAGCCACGTGTCTCTTCAAAAGACATGGTGTTCTAGACCTCCACCCACAAAGATGTTAGAGCGATTGTCGATATGGTCAAAAAGGGAAAATTGTGGGTTAGTCCGACACTGGAAAAATCGCTATTGCAATGGGTATGGCGAAGTCTCTCAGACAAGAGAACCCATTTGTTATGCTGGCTGGGAGTGAGTTGTTCTCTCTTGAGATGTCAAAAATAGAGGCTTTAATGCAAGTGTTTAGGAAAGCGAATTGAGATAAGGATTAAGGAGGAAATGGGAGTTATTGAAGGGAATGAAGACCAGACGGAGGAGCAAGACCCAACCATGAAAATGAAAGAAAATTCTAAGGAAGAAGCTATGATATCATGTTAAATATACTCAATGATACTCTGTAAAATTCGATGTCCCTCAATGTGAGAAGTTCTCTCATTATATAGTACCAAAATCACAACTAAATATGGTAACTATTGTTAAGTTGAAACCAACAAGCGTACATGATTCTTGTTTAAGTAATAAAAAAATAATGAGTTTCGAGTTTATCATTCTCACGAGGAATAATGTCTAATATTTAGCTTAATAGCTTTTACTAAATTTGAGTGTGCATGACATTAAGAGAGTGATTTGTTTGGTTTTCTATACTACTTTTAATATATTAAAGCAATAAAATTGAAGTTTTCAAATGTGAGATGCTAGTACTGAAATCCTGAATCCCCATATTGCCATTTATTCCAACTCTTAGAGTTTATAATATAGTTGATTTCATGAATTTTGACAATTGATAATGCTAAATTATTCAATGCTTTTTTTTTAAGACTCACAAACTATGATTAACACAATTTAATCATATTCCTAGTCCAATTTTGGCATAGTTAAACGGGGTTAATCACCCAGATCATGAATTAACTAGTAGATCTCTGGGTAATCAAGAAGGAATGCCAACACGTACGAGCGAGAAGGGTTAAATGACTTGGGTATGGCGCACGAACGAAGGAGTTAGAGCTAGTTTAGTTGATTCAGATTGAGCTACGCTTAAGTTAGAGTTAGAGTTAGAGCTTGTGTTTGAGTACCTAAAGGCTAGAAGATAAGAGCTACAGATGAAATGAGAGAGAAAAGAAATGTTGCTTCATAGGGATGGCAATGGGTCGAGTTGAGCCAGCTCGCCAGGTTTTCAATGAGCCGAGTTCTAGCTTGGCTCGCGAACTCGTCTTTTTTTTTTTTTTATCATTACAAAAAAAACAAAGGAACACAAATGCATTTTTAAAAGAATAATTTAATGAAGAATTTTTTTTTTTCTATCATATAGAAATATTTTCTATAAAATATTAAATATTTATGTAATGAAGGAGATTTTTTTTTTTTTCGAAATACATTTAGAAAAACTACATATGCAAAAAATATATTTTTTCATTTTCTTTTTAAAATAGATAAAATTTAAACCCTCCTCCTTTATCCGAGTTTGAGACCGACGACATCAAATTTAAGTAGATGGAGTTAAAAATTGTACACAAACAACTTGTTGTAACGTGTACAATTTTTTAAAGAAAAATTAAATGTAACGATTAAAAAATAAAAAATTTGATTAATATAATTAAATTAAATATCACTTACATGACGATATGCAATTTTGGCATATTTATCTTGTAGTTGAAAATGAGCGTCCTGCCTATTCTTCACGCACATTAACGCTTCCAAAATATCTTCTTTCAGCCACCTCCTGATATCGTGCAAAATTCTTTTATCTACACTAAAAGTAGACTCTGAAGCAACAGTGCTAACTGAAAGTGTTAGCAGATCTTTTGCAATTGTAGAAACAACTGGCCAACGTCT